TCATTGTGCTGATCCATCAATAATGCAGTTCTGAGTACTTCCTACAGGGCAGGTCATGTCTTGACAAATTCCCTCAGTGTTTGCTTGTCTGAGAAAGACTTTATTTCCCCCTTAAACTTAGTTTTGTGGGATACAGAATTACAGGCTGGGCATTATTCTGTTTGAGAAGACTGGGAATGGGGCCCCAGTCCCTTCTGGCTTGTAGGGTCTCAGTTGAGAAATCTGCAGTTAGTCTGATGGGTTTTATTTTGTAAGTTACCTGCCGCTTTTGCCTATGGCTTATAGGAGCACCTCTTTTGTGTTTATTTTGTCTGATGACTTTGTGTCATGGTGTTTTCCTGTTTGTGATGAACCTCCCTGAGGTCCTATGAGCTTCTTGTATCTAGATAAACCTAGATTTTTAGCAAAGCCAGGGAAATTTTCTTCAATCATTCCCTCGAATAAATTATCCAACCCTTGTGTAGTCTCCTCTTTACCCTCAGGGATGCCTATGATTCTTATGTTAGGCCTCTTTACATAATCTGATATTTCTTGTAGCCCTTGCCTGTTCCTCTTATTTCTCTGTTCTATCTCTGTGACTGACTTGTTTAGTGGAAAGGTGTTGTCTTCAAGCTCTGAGATTTTTTCTTCTGCTTGATGTAACCTGTTCTTAAGGCTTTCCACTGTGTTTTGTAATTCCTTGAATGAATTTTTTATTTCCAGAAGTTCTGTGTGATTTTTCTTTAATAATTCAGTTTCTTTAGTGAATTTTTCATTCATTTCCTGCATTGTTTTTGTGATTTCCTTGTGTTGGGTTTCTATTTTATCTTGTATTTCATTAAGCTTCCTTACAATTCATGTTCGAAATTCTTTGTTTGTCATTTCAATATTCTGCTTTTGGTTGGTATCCATTACTAGTGAGCTGGTATTCCCTTTTGAGGGTGATCTTTTGCTCTGATCCTTCCTACTTCCAGAGCTCTTTCACAAGTTCTTTCTCATCTGGAACAGATGCTGCTTCTTTCTTTTGGATTTTCTTTTGTTTAGACATTGACATGCCCCATTTAATCTCTGAGTCAGTAGGAGGTGCTTGTGGGTGTGGGTCAACCACACCGTCTATGATTGAGTTAATAAATGCTGTAACAAACATGAAAATTGACCTCCTAGTCAGTAGGTGGTAGTGGCTGGAGGGAACAAGCTGCAATGTTGTTTTCAGATCCTGTAACCAGCTCTAGTTCCTCAAGAAAAGCCCTCTAATGCCCCAGGTGGTAGGTGGGGCCCTGGAACTTCTAGGTGAGTCCTTTATTCCCTACCACAGTAGAGTTGGGTGGGGAATGGGGTGGGGGTAAGTTGGATGAACCTACCCTCCAGCTCCACAAATGCTGGTAAGGGATATGCAGGGTTTAAAGGACCCTTCCCTGCCTCTTTGCTGACGTGGCCCCACTTAACCAGAGAGTCTGCATGTGGAGGTGGGAGCATCTGAGACCCTTAATCTGGTTGTCTAGAGCAGGCCTTGATCCTTTCAACCCTCCCCTATTTCTCAGTTTCTCCCAGCCCTCTGCCTACAGGCATGGCCTCAAGTCAGCTGAGCTCCCCAAAGGCTGTGATGCAGGAGAGAAGTTCCCTGGTCAGTGTCCCAGTGTGAGCTGGGGGCGTGGCCCTCCCATGGGAGGAAGGGTGCCCCACTAGTTCACTGCAGCTGGATCCATACTGCTCTTTCCCCCTTGTGCTGTCCCCACATCTCAAGAGACTAAATAAACCACAAATATCCCCTTTGTGCCCCTGGGCGATGCAGTCGAGACCTGGGTATATGGGATCTGGCCTACAGGCCCGTCTCTAGGGACCCGGAGCTCAATTTCTGACCATGCCAGGGAGAAGAATGCTGGTCCCATGTCACCCACGAGGTGCCCCCAGTGATTTGCTGTCCCTCTGCCTTGGGGCCTGTCTTGTCCTAATGGGGCTTCAAGGCAAGCAGCAGCAGGGAGGGCTGGCAGCAAGCAACTCACAGTCCAAACACCCCTCAGTCCACTGCAGGACCCCAAAAAGGAATTTCTGAGCCCCACTTCCTGTGGGAGCCTCTGTATGACGTCTCAGTTGTCTCTCTTTGTAGCTGTGAGAGGGGTAGGGGAAGGAGAGAAAAAGATTCTGGGTAAAGGAAGGTCCACCCTCTGGTTGTCTCCAACCCACTTTCTGCAACGCAGTCTGCCCAGAATGACCAGGCTCTGAAGTCAGGCAGAACAACCTGGGACCACTGGACTCCTGTGGCTCCTGCAGTCTGAGTTGGAGTTGAGAAATGTCTGTGTGGGAGTGAGCAGGACGGAGTCTGGGGAGTCAAAGCCCCCAGGGGAAGACGGGGGGGTGGGGTGGGGGGGTGGGGCCTGGTAGTTATAGAGCAACATGGCGCCTGCCGTCTGACTGGAGTCTGTAGGATGGGAGGTACCCTGAGGAGGCTGGGAGCTTGGTGTTCTGTCCACGGGAAGCTTCCTGTCACTGGTGGCGGCAGTCTCAGGGCTTGTGTGCATAGGACTCTGGTTGATGGGGAGCACGCAGATGCAGGCTGACCCAGCCTAGAAGGTGGTTTGAAGGCCCAGGAGGCAGGAGGCGGCTGGGACCTGGAAGGGGGTTGGGTAGATAGACTGCGGCCTGATTCTTAGACGCCAGGTTCCCGCAGAGGCAGGTCTGCCCCACAGAGAACTCCGCTCCCCTCCCCTGCCTGGAGCCCACTGCTATCCTGTCAGCTCTAATGCCCTCCTCTTGCTGACTTCCAGGGGTGAGGGGCCCCTCCCCAAATTCCAGTGAACATCCCAGAAAGCCACAGCTCAGTCCAGTCCCTCCCCAGCCCAGCGTTCCTGAGAGTTCACTGTGGCTACTGCTATTGTCTCTTCTCCGCAGGGCCTGTTGTCTTGTGCCACAGCTGTGCACCAACCCCAGGCGTGTCCCTGTCTGAGTGGATGGGAGGTCTGTGGGAGTGGCGGGTGTCCTGCTGTAGGTCAGGTCGCACTGCACTGGCTGGGCCAGTGTGGCCCTCCAGAGCTCTGTTCTCTGTTGAATTCTTCCCATCTCCAGTCTCAGTGCATGTGTCTCTCCATCGCCTTCTTTCCTGCGGTGAGTGTCCATGCTGCTTCTCTGCAAATTCACAATGCTGTTTTCTGAGTGAGCAGCCTGCATGCAGGCAGCTGTCCGCGCCCTTCACCTCCTTCCCGGGAGCAGTGAGCTGGGAGGCCATGCTAGTCCACCCTTTTTTCTCTGGGCTGAGTCTTTCTGCCTAGTTTCTAAATTTGCTCTTGTATGTTTACTTAGAATTTTTTGACTTGGAGGTACAAGTTTGCATCACATGGTTTGAGTTGTTGACTAGGTGGGCCTTGGTCTGTTGTCACTTAGGGAGAAGCCTTGGCTTGGATTGGTGGCTGTTTTGTGTTTCTGATGACAGGCAGGTTTGCTGCTTGCCTCTGTTCTTTTATCAGGAGAACTCTGCCCCACTGCCCCCTGGCCCTGCTCTGGTTATCAGACTTTTCAGTTCTCAAGCTGCCTACAGGCTGGGCAGGCTCAGACATGCACCTGCTGTGTGCTGCTTTCTCAGAGAAGCTATAGGTGCGGTTAATGAACTTGCACTTAAAACCTGTCTTACCATTTGAAAACTATCCCATGGAAATCTTGCTTTGGGATTGAACCTGTTTTGCCTTTAGGTTGTGCCCTTTTGTTTCTGTTTCCTTTCCTCATTGGTTTTCTGCTTTCAGTTTTAGTTGCCTGACTTCAAAAATCTCATAATCACAATCATGGTTTGGGACTATTTTTTACTGTCATCTCCTTGTTTTTACGGGCAGGTTCATTCCAGTAAAGCTGCGTCTCTCCTACACACCGTTGGTTCCAAAGCACGGGGCTTCCCGGTATCCTGAGGGTATCTCGACTGTGCTGGCCCTAGCCCTGTTCACCCTTGTATTGGGCCACATGTGCCTCTTGCTTCCGGCTTGACCGATGCACTTACACTTGCCTGTAAGGGGACCCAGTGGCCTATTTTTAGCCACACTAGCTATTCCACGGTCCTTGCCGAAGCTATTGCCAAACTGTGTTGACACAGGGATTGACTTGTCACTAAACATACTCCACACCTCAGGAATGCTCCCTCAGCTGGCGTGCCTGGTGAAGGAGTTCCTGTCCTGCACTGGCCTGAGTTCAGGGAGAGCTGACCACCAAACAGGAGGAGTAAATACTCGTCTTGTTGGGTGGGATTTGAGGTTGAGGAGAAAGTTTACGTAGGTAGTGAATTTATTCTAGTTCTCTGCATGCAGGCAGAGAACTGTGCAAATAGGGCATTTGTTGTTATTTTGCACCTTAGGTATCCACAGTGGTGTGTCTAGTTGCCTTTTAATTTTTTTTATTGTGGTAAAATATAACATAAAATTTGCCATTTTAACCATTTTAAAATATACAATTCAATGGCTGAGTCTTGTCACTAAGCCCTGGGGACAGGAGTCTTTGCCAGGATTATTAAAGTCTTGCTGCTGATTTAAGGGCTGCTGTGGCTGCTCCGGCTCTGAGGAGAAAGGACAGTGGCTCTGCAGTGGGCGCTCTGTGAACCGGCTGTTGAGCGCAGGAAATGTGGCTGGTGCAGCTGAGACACTGGGTTTCTAATTGTGCTTAATTCCAACAGCCACATGGGCTCATTGTTAGAGTACAGGGAGGAGGGCTTAGAGCGTGGGCTTCAGAACCCGGATTCAAATTCCAGCTCTGCCGTCTACCTGTTGTGTGATTGTGGAGATGCTTCTTAACTTTATAAGGTTGTTTTGATAATTTGTTGTATTCCACAAAAAGTGGTGAGAACAGTAGAACAGTGTCTGGTAAGGAATGTATGTTCGGTTAATATTGGCTTGTCGTTATGTTCATTCAATATTTGGAATGGCATGGTGCTAGAATTCATGCGGCATATGAAATTCTATTTTCTTCTTCTTCTTTTATTTATTTATTTATTTTTACCTTTTATGTTTTCGTTCTTTTAAAAAGAAATTATTCTTTTGTTGCTCTAGGTTGCTGCAGCAACTGGCCACACGGTAGTGTTGGTAGACCAAACAGAGGACATCCTGGCAAAATCCAGACAGGGAATTGAGGACAGCCTTAGGAAAGTGGCAAAGAAGAAGTTTGCAGAAAACCCTAAGGTAACTTCTTATGATCAGTGTCTTTTAGACCAGTCTTCTGACTGCTTCATATTTAGTGAGGGTAGGGGTTCTGGTCTTTGTTTTCTTTATTTTTAAATTTGTCTAGTTTGTCTGTGTAAGACTTATTCCCCCATCACTTTAAACTAATATAATAACATAATCACTAAATATGGGGGGGAGGCAGTGCTGATTAGAAAACAGGAGAAATTAACCATATTGTTCTGTAGGATTTGATGTTGAGGAGAAAGTTTTTGTAGGTAAACTCCTTCCAGAAAAACACTGAGAATTTGGAATTAAAGAACACTTGTTTTGCTATAAGGATGGAAGAGGGAGAAACAGGAAGATGATTTTTGTACTTGTGAGTTAAAAAGAATAATGTAATAAACATTGTATTTAGGTAGAAACTTTTGATTGCTTAGATAATCTCTTCTGCCTATTTATGATGATCTAGAGAGGAAAATAGAGGGTGAATAATTCTCACTTTTGAGGAGCAGAAGAGATAGAAGAATTTGAGGAGCTCTTCAGAGGTTGGGCATTCTGGATTACCAACTTTTTCACTGGATTTGGCTGCTTTTCCAGTGACTTTAACTTAGGAGTTTGCGTTTAATTAGACTTTTGTCAACTTGTTAAAGTTGCTTAAGATTGGTTTCCTCAGGGCTCGGATGGATTTTCACTCCGTATACAGGCAGAGAAGTGTGTAAAGAGGGCTTTTGTTGTTTTTGCCTCTGATATCCACAGTGGTGTGTCTAGTTACCTTTTTAAATTTTTTATTTAAAATATAGATAGCATAAAATTTGCCATTTTAACCATTTTTAAGTACACAACTCAATGGCATTAATTAGATTCACACATTTCATATAAGTGGAATATAATATTTACTCTTTTATGTCTGACTTTTCACTTAGCACGAGGTTTTCAGAGTTCATCCACATTGTACCATGTGTCACTTCATTCCTTTTTACAGCTAAAGAGCATTTCATTTTATGCGTATACCACAGTTTGTTTACGTGAGAGTAGAAAGCCCAGTAGGTGCTCATGGTGCAGGTGGAGAAAGAATTCTCACACAGAAATTACGATATAAAAGTTAACAAAGTTTATTTTAGCTTCTTAGAGGGGAGAGAGAGAGAGAAGGGAAGGGGGCAGGGGGAGAGCAGGAAGGCAGGGGTGGCCTCCCACAGAGAAAGGAGTGGCAGCAGCCAGGGGGACAGAGAAAGAGGGAAAAAATAGTAATTGTTGTGGGACTTGTCATCTCTGAGCTGGTCAGGCTTATGTGTGTGGGGGGGGGGGACGATGTGATTTTGCCCCCGAGACAGTTTTCCTCCAAAACGGAGGCCTGGAGTTTGTCGCCTGGGGACAAAGCTGTCTGTCTCGGAGCTTCTCCGGGACACCTTGAGGCCATAACACAAATTCTAAAAGCTGTTTCTGGTGAATGTAAAAGGAAAGATTATATTGCCTTCTGTCTTTGGCTCTTTTCAGATGTTTTTGAGGACAGAGTGGCTGCATGGTGCCAGCCAGGGAGGCCGAGAAGAGGGGAGAGCAGGGAGAGCTCAAGAGTGATCTTTAGCTGTTATTTGCAGGATTAGATACTTTCCTGTTATTTCAGCAGCCACCCTTTTGGTTTATCAATTGGGTCGTTTTCACCTTTTGGTTATTGTGAATAATGTGCAATGAACACTTGTATACTATTGGTTTGAGTTCTTATTTTCAGTTCTTTGGAGTACACACCTAGAAGTGGAATTGCTGGGTTGTATAGTCATCCTGTGTTTACCCTTTTGAGGAACCAACAACCTGTTTTCCAGAGTGACTGCATGTTATATTCCCACCAGCAGTGGATTCCAATTTCTCCATATCTTGGCCAACACTTGCTATTTTCTGTTTTTTTCCCCCCATGTAGTCATCTTAGGTGAGAAGTGGTATCTCATTGTAGTTTGGGTTTGCATTTTTCCTGATGTCTACTCACCTTTTAAAAACCAGATGAGTGGGAGTGGAGATAGTTTTATGCTCTCATTGATGAAATCCAAAGAATAAATATCAAGATAAATATTAAGATCTCCTTCACCTGTCCCTTGTGTTTTTAAGGGTGGGGGTCCCCATATGGGGGAGGGGAGGAGTATTGATGAGGGTCCAGGTGGAGGGGATTTTAAGAGTCCTGGGCTGAGGGTTGGAGTCAAGACAGAGTAAGCCTGAACCCAATAGCCTGCATTTCCCCCTGGTTTACTGTGCAAACTTTCAGCCCTCTCCTAGGGCTATGGTGCTGAGCCGCGCCCTGAGGGTGAAAAGGTGGCCCCAGGGCCCAAGTTTCTCAGCTCCTGACTAGCAGCTCCTTAGGAGTCTCCTCTGCTGTTTCTGTCCCCTGCCAGGACACCGTGCAGAGGAAGGTGTGGCTCTGTGCTGACGGTACAGTTGCCCCAAGTGGCATTTGAGCACTTGAAATAAAATGGCAGCTCATGGAGGCACCATCTCTATTTCTGCCCTAACTGAGGTCTGTGTGTGGGGACCTGGCGTCACAGGAGGAAAATGAGGAAAAGACAAAACTGCAAGCTCTTTGAGAGCAGGGCTATGTCTGGCTTGTTTTGGAAACCCCAGCTGCTGACACGTGATGAGCAGTTATTGTTTGGCAAATGCCTGCTGAGCTTGGTTTCCCTACCCCAGCTCTGGCCTTGCCTGGCTGGTCTCTGCCTCTTGTTAGAGAGGAATGGGCAGCACCACCTCTGAGACTGGTGTGCGGTGCTGAACTCAACTTCTGCCCTTTTCTTGAGAGACAAATTCTAGGCTTCTTGTACACTCAGGGACTCCAAAACAGGTGCTGTGAACAGTTTGGTAACCCAAGCAGAGATAACTAAGAACTTGAAAAATCACACAGTTGGGATTGTTTACAGGCAGGCTCTTGCCCTGGTGTCTGGAAGTACACTGGGATGCCATCCTCTCTAAGCAGAAATGCAGGGAGTTTTATTTCTCAGAATTTCAGAGTGCATCGAAGTTGTGTCTGGGTGTGTGGGTCTCTCATGGCCTTCTTTCCTTCTGCCTTCGCAGCACATCACATGCTATTTCCAACAAGCCTGGTGAACACTCTCTTCTCCTTCCTCCCGCTACATTAGGCTGGTGACGAGTTTGTGGAGAAGACCCTGAGCAGCATATCAACCAGCACGGACGCGGCAGCCGTGGTGCACAGCACGGACCTGGTGGTGGAGGCCATCGTAGAGAATCTGGCGGTGAAGAACGAGCTCTTCAAAAGGCTGGACAAGTTTGCCGCTGAGTACGTGACCCTTGCCAGGTTCTGAGGGCTCTCTCCCTGAGCCATGAGCTTTCCTCCTTGCTTGTTGCCTTCTTCCAGGAAGGAATTTTCTAACCAGGTCCCTTGACCTCTCTTTCTTCTGCCCCACGGCTGTTTGCAGCAAAACCATGTTGTTGCTATTGTTCTCCATCCCCCGTCCCAGTTTGCTCCCTGAGGCTTGAGCTGCCCTAATCTGATCCTTGTCCCCAGTGAGGGTGGAGTTCCCCCGTGGTAGAATGGCGGGGGCCATCCAGGGACAGGCCTGTTTGTTCCCCGTAGCATGTTGGTTGTGGGCCTCCCATGAGGGGCTTGGGCATGTGCTTAAGTGTCTGCTGAGGAACCTCAGAGCAATTTTCTGTCTCCCCTATTTTGGGTGGGGCAAACAGAATGAGATAATTGGGAATGCCTCTCTATTTATACAAAGTTCCCCAGAACTCTCCTCTTTTGAGCTTTATCTGGGTTCAATCAAAACACTCTAAGGAGCATTAAAGGAGCGTTGAATTCTTACCAGGATTCCTGGCAGAGAAGAGCCAAGCACACGCAGGTCAGGCATAAGGTGCCAGGCCTGGCATAAGGTGGTACTGTCTGTGCAGTGTCAACAAACTTGTGCTCATATCACGCTCTGCTTCCCCCCAAATCCAGTGCCTTCCACTGTGTTTCTCTCTTGGCTTTTGGCGACTCTGACGCCTGACTGATTTGTGCTCTTCTTGGGATTTGCTTGGCCTCATTTCAGCCTTCTTGGTTGGAACTGAATGACAAGAGTAAGATTATATGACAAAAGTAATTCTCAGGGAGCCAACATTGCGCAGTGGCTAAAGAGAGACACTTGCATACCAGCCTGCTGGAATGTCAACCCTCAGAGCTAGGCGGCCTAGTGGTGGAGAGGCCCTATCCCTGACAAAGAGAAGAGACTTGTCTTTCTGTGGTCTGTGTGGCACTCTGCTGATCAGTGTGCTCATGCGTTTCAACTTGGCATTTGGGGGCTGCAGGAACATCTCACAGAAACAGAAGACACTTGGATCCGTGCTGGCTGCCAAGTCAGCAGGGAGCCCTCCAAGAAAATACAACACTGGCTCCAGGAAGGGGAGTTTTACCAAGCAGTTAATCACCATCATTGAAAGGGTGGCAATTCCTAGTGACAGGGAAGGACCCGCCTGCCCCCTGGCGGCATAGCAGGAGGGCTGTTGAGGGCTTGGTGCCAGCCCTCAGCCACTTCCCTCTCTGACCTTGGAGAAACCCTCAGTTTTGCCATCTGTAATGTGAGTTTAGGGTACATAATTTCTAAGACGTTCTCAGTTCTAACTGTCCAAGAATAGTTTTCCTGGGTGTCAAATGGCAGTAGCATGCCCGCTGTACAGATTTGTTTAGGAAACTAACTGAATTCAGCCCACTTTTCCTGGGTGCCTACTGTGTGCCGGACACTGTCCTGGGCTGTTCCACCTGAGCTGGTGTGAAACACTACATGTGAAAGCAAAGGGCATAACCCATAGTAGGCACTCTGAAAACGGGACTTTGGTTCTGGCCTTCAGCTATGCTTTTCTGCACTGTTTGTTTTCATCGTAGATTACCACTGTCAATGAACGCGTGCAGAGTTTTCTTTTACGCCACTCTGTTGAGAGAGATACTGGTACTTTAGGTACTTTACTGCCAAGTTTTACAGTTAGTTCCTGTCATGGGAGAAGAAAATTTATTCAGGCGATGAAGTTTCCATTGAAAGCCCTGGTGAAGCAGCTGCGCCCTGGAAGAGAGCATGACTTTTCTAGCAGCCATATAAGCAGTGCAAACCAAAAGCTTGACCGAGGCCCACCGGCAGCGGAAGCTGAGTCCTGCCCTTCTCCTCTCGGCAGAACACGAACTCCCTGTCCTTGTGCTGTCCCCACCACCCCCCTTTCTTCTTGGTATTAGGGCCTGCGGGTCTTGGGGCATTGCCAGTGATCATCACGCCTGTGATAGATTTTTTTTTGTGCGTGTTTAAGAGAAAAATAGTTTTTTGGTGTGTGAATGCCAGAAAAAAGATGATCTAAGAGAGATGTTTCCAGGAAAATATAAACGTGGTGTTTTTGTTTTGTTTTTTTAAGATAAGGCAATCTTGTGTATTTAACATGTGAACACATTGCGTGTGTGTTGTGAGAAGGCAGTGGGCACCTGTTGGGAGCAGCGCCAGCCTGGCCCGGGTTGGGGCAGTGAGGCAGAGGTCTGCTGGGGAGAGACCTCCTCCTCCTCCAACATGCCGGGGGTGCCCTGCACTGGAGACGCCTGGGCCTGGACTCCGATGTCACTTCATTGTTTTGTCACATGTGCCTGAGTTTCCCCTTTTAGCAGGCAAGTGGCCCTTTGAATGTCCCATGCAAGGTACCATGTTACAATTGTAATTTCACGCTAATCTTGGAGACGCCTCTTCCTTAAGGGGCTTGTGGAGCCGTGGCTGGCACAGCCTCGGTCCTGGCTGTCGTGGGTCAGGGTGGAGGAACGCTTGTGTCAAACACAAACACTGCTCTTGGCAGAGGATCTTTTCTCATTACCTTTTGTAATGTGGCATAGTTTACATTATTTCTCCATCAGCCAAAAAGCAAGAAATTTTAAAAACTAAAATTTTAAAACCTTAAAAACAGGTCATTTTTTTTTTTAAAGGAACAGCTCCCCTGCTGCCTCTCCATGGCCTGACTGATGTTGTGTGAGAAGGGCGCTGTGCTGCGCCTGAAAGGGGAAGGCTCTCGGCCACCCCACCCTGGCCTTGCCTGCCACCCCTTCCCTCCTCTCTGCATTGCTGCTTTCTCCTCTTCGCCCTCTGGTCTCCTCCCACCTGCCCCTGAGTTCAGGCAGATGGTAGTGTTGCCTTTTAGCAAAGCAGGAACCCAATCTGGGCAGCGAGGGACCCCAGCCCTGCCTGCCCTCTGCCCAGGCCCATTTGCAATTAGCAGCAGGCTGGTTTGTGTATTTGCGTCCACAAGGTGGCGCTGTGGGAAAGTCTGGGAGTCGGCTGGTCTGAAAGAGTCACCTGATGGCTTTGGCAGCCCACTATACTGTGGTCCTAAAAAATTTAATTTGGTTTAAGTCAGTATGGACTTTTAAAAATTAATAATTTAACATTTTATACACACAAAACAAGATGGTAGTGCTTTTTGAGGAGATTTTGTAAGCAGAATATCTTGAGCATGTGTGATGTATATGCCTATGTCCTCCCTCCCCCAAATCTACCTGTGTAACCCTCAAACTTCTTTCGGACCATGTTGAGTTTTTTCTGTTTTCATTTTAATTCCTATCCAATGGAAAAGTGAAGCTTTTCACCTGAGGGAAAGGCCTTAATTAATGTTTATTATCCGATGTTTCTGGTTGAGGATTAGGTGTGTGTTCAGAGTTTTTTGTTGATTTTAGGCGTCTGTTCCCCAGACGTATGTATCTTTTCTTTCACTAGTCATTGATCATTTAGAGTATCACTTTGTGGCTCGGGTTGGTTAAGTAGCTTGATTAGCCACTTCCTTTTATTCTCACCTACCATGAAAGTTAACCAATATATGTATACAGGAGAAAATTGTTCCCCACAGTTACGAAAAGATTGGTGAAGGGTAAATATACCTTTGGAACAGGTAATTCCAATTTTACTTAATTTACAGTTTCAAAATTTAAATAAAGGTCACTTGATCTCAGCCTCTTGTATGAAGATGTGTCTTTTCCTCGACTCCCTGTGTGGGACAGGATGGCAGACCGGCCGTGAGCAGTCCCTGTGCACGCAGCCCGCAGTAGGGCCATGCCGACAGCTTCCAAACACGAGGCGTGTTCTGATACACTGCCGTTTTTTCTCTCCTCAGACATACGATCTTTGCCAGCAATACCTCCTCCTTGCAGATCACAAGCATAGCCAACGCCACCACCAGACAAGACCGGTTTGCTGGCCTCCATTTCTTCAACCCAGTGCCTCTGATGAAGCTTGTGGAGGTCAGTGTGTGTCTGCATGCTTTGCCAGCTTGCTCAGTCCTACCTTTCCGAGTCACGCCAGCCCTGCCACCGGGGATCGCATCGTGGATTTTAACAGGAGGGTAGAAGGTTGTCCCTGTGCTTGTTTCTCTTGCCCTAGTCTGTCTTTTTCAGAGCCAAGGGATGACAAAAGCACCTAGTATCTAGGAAGGTACCTGTACTTGGTTTCTTTGCAGCCTTGTGTTTTGACCAGCAATGTCCAGGAGGGCTGTTAACTTTGTGGGATGTCATTTCCTTATTTGAGCCTGGCCTGGTGGGCAGTGCTGAGAGGCGTCTTACCGGGAAGGCAGCACTAGAGACCACTGGCTTGATGGGGCCGCAGAGGGGAGACCTGCACGTGTTCAGATTGTCTTGTTGAGGTCAGCTTGCCCCGTGCTATAAGTGGAATTCCTATTAGACCCACAATACCACCCTGTTCGCCATTCCCGTGGTAAATTCTGCCCTGGGTAACAGTGCCTCGGCATTGTCCCAGATGAGGCATATCTCCTGTGTTGTGATCAGACCTACTAAAAGCAGCTTCCAATAGCTTTGACCCCCTGGTCGTGAACCTGGGAGGTGGAGGAGGGGAGGCCAGGGAGGGCTTCCCCAGCATTCTGCTTCTGCTTGCCTGCCTGGAGTCTGAGTGTGAGGGAGATGGAGTCACCACAATTTGCACCCAGAATGTGGCAACTTCCCTTTTATAGGGGGCTAATTACAGGGTCTGAGAAGCAGCTGCCATGAAAGTAGCATTTGTTCTGAGGTTGAGGAATTACTGCCCTGCGAACTGTGGGGGATGTGGAGCCGGGTGAACTTCCAGAGACTGACCACGGCCTCCTGGGAGTGTGTTGGGATCTGTTCTCTTCACTGCTGCCTTCTTCTCCAACCCCTTTGCCCTCCTTTCTCTCTCCCATTGCTCCACCCAGCATAAGCTTTTTTTTTTGAGACAGGGTCTTGCTATGGCTAGAGTCTGGTGGTGTCATCATAGCTCATAGCAACCTCAAACTCCTGGGCTCAAGTGATCCTCCTGCCTCAGCCTCCTGAGCAGCTGGGACTACAGGTGCCACCACCACACCTGGCTAATTTTTCTATTTTTAGTAGAGATGGGGTCTTGCTCTTGTTCAGGCTGTTCTTGAACTCCTGACCTCAAGTGATCCTCCCGTCTCAGCCTCCTAGAATGCTAGGATTATAGGTGTGAGGAACCTCGCCCGGCCACAATGTTTAACTTTTTAGCTCTTGATGTGTGTTGCTGGTGGTGAGCGCCAAAATGAATTATATAACGAGCTAAGTGGGTCCTTTACTTGAAACTGAACTCATTTAACAGTGTGTGTATGTGTATGTATACACATAGATCTCTAGAGACTCCGTCAGAACCAAGAGCAGAGTATCTGTATGTAGCACATTGCTGTTTGTTGAATGAATGAACAAACATGCATCTCTCCTGTTTAAAAAAAACAGCAGACCTTTACTACTGACTCCTTTAAGCCAACAACATATCGTTAAGACTCCATAGTTAGCAGCATCCTTTTCCTAGCTCAGTCTCTGGTTCTGATGAAGACTTTTTAGATGCTCCTCTCAAGTAGCTCTGGGACTGCTGTTTGATTTTTGGTCCCACAGTGGTTTCTGGTCCATCTGGTCCTGGTGCTCATCTCAGTCTTCATGGTGCTTGTTTTCTGTTCCACACATTCACCTCCCTTCGTGTCATGATTTGATGCTTGCGCTTGGCCCAGGCCTGGGGTAAAGTGCAGCCGTGGTGGCCTGGCTACTGCCTCATGGCTGTCCTGGGCCGTGAGCACGTCAGCACTGGTGAGCGCTCCTCTTTGTTTATGGGCACCTTTCATCCCAGCACAGACAGCTCGTAGCTCGTTACACCAGAGGGCCTCTTATACGAGGAGGCACGTCAAGTATCGTCAGCCCGTTCTTAAAAGAGCGGGGAGGCACTTGCCTCAGATCACATGAAGGGTCTGCAGTAGAAGCCAAGCCTGTTTGCATTGGCTCTGGTTGAAGTTTTCTACTGGCATTTAAATTTTATATAAATATGTAAAGTTTAAATTCACCTGGGTCTCTCCATTTGCCAAAATCTAATTTCTGATGGATGAATTCTCTAAATGTTTACTGAAGGCGACTGTGCCAGCCACTATGATTAGTGCTGTCTCCTATAGATGCCCTCGAGGTAGCAGCTGTGTGCTCCCCTGTGCTCCCGGAGGGTCAGGAGTGCTGCTGGGGCTGGCGGTGGGCCCTGGCACGGCCCTGCCAGCTGTCAGCGCAGGCTGCCTTTTGCAGGACGAGTGTTGTACAGCAATGGCCTCTACAGCCAGTGGCCTCTGGGACGTCCGTGTGGAGAGCGTGGGGTCAGGGAGAAAGAGTCACATACATGACTTCGGCCAATCACTCCCATCTTCCTGGGGCCCTTTCTCATTGTCTGTAATATGAGAAGGGGGTTCCTACTGAGAATTTTTAGGGTAATCATCATATTCTCCTAGACTTCAGCTGCCACTCTGAAGTAATCAACGATGGTAAGGAAAACAATAAGAGCAACATTTACTGAGCACTTTCTACCTTCTAGGAGTGGGTTTGTGCTTTACCCTCAGCGTGATTTCATTCTCTACTCCTTGAGGTGGACAGAGTGATTTCAGTGTCACTTGAGTTTCAAAAACCATCCCCAAGGCCACACAGCCAGTGAGTAGTGCAGCTGAACCTAGGTCTGACTCGGCAGCACAGCCTGTAAAACCGTCCTGTGCGCCTGCACACACACTCTCTTGTATTTTAAGCCTTGATTTTGTACATTCTGCAGGACAGCGTTGTCTTAAAATGGACATTTTGGGAAATACTTTGTTTCTGGCTTGGGATCCCGACTTCTTTACTGAAACTAAAATTATTTTTGTCACCTGTATGGACCCTTTAGGTCGGTGTTTCCTTGAACCATTCTATTGGAGTTACTTGCTGACTCTCTGGTCATAATTCTTTGGTTGCATTTCCAGGTCATTAAAACACCAATGACCAGCCAGAAGACGTTCGAATCTCTGGTCGACTTCAGCAAAGCCCTGGGAAAGCATCCTGTTTCTTGCAAGGTAGAGTATGGGGAGCTTGGGAAGGAGATGATTTTTCCTGGAACCTGACTGGTTTCTGTTCTACTAGAATGATGTGAGAAGGAGCATCGTTTACTGCAGGCCTGTCCACGTGCTGCAGAGAGCCCCCAGGCCTCTGTTCTAGTTTGCAGGCAGGCAAGCCGTGCTCCTCAGCCAGGCCTGAACCATCATGATCGTCTGAGATGAGACCCGAACGGCACCAAGCCTTAGCTGAATAGAGGGCTCGACTCCCTGGCCCTGGCTTTTGTCTGTCTGGCTACATTTTCATAATGGTTTTCGTTGCCCAATCCGCGTTAACTTCTGCTGGGCCGCTGGGAGTGAGAACCCTGTGTCCAGTGCAGCTGGTGGCCATTTGCACCCCAACAGAAAACCAGGACCTGACTTCTGGAAAGAGCAGTACAAGTGGTGGGGGAAATGCTGGGACAGGAAGAGACCAGCCCGCCCAGAGTAGCATCAGTGAAGCTCTTTCCCAGTGAAACGTGGCGTATGTTTTTGTTTTGTGTCGTGTTGTTTTTCAGTGAGACACATGGCTGAGGAGAAAGCACACTTGGCCTCCAGCTTTCCCCCTTCTTATGCTACCTACGTATGTGAAATGACCCCAGTTGTTGGAAGGATAACCTGCTTCATTCTGGTTACCTTCAGTTTTTCCATTTCTTTTAGTTCCTCTTCAGTTTCCCCAAAACTTAGGCACTATACTTCTGCAAGATTTTGCACTTTTTCTAAGGGGGCAGTTGTGTTGCAAATGCCACACGATTACAGTTTTACCAGTAACTTGTCTACTTTTTTGATGGTGATCCTTCATGTCATATGGTTCTTCTCATGGCCTACTTTTGCTTTCTAAAATATTCTTAAGTTTGAGCTCATAGTACTGTATTAACCCACAAAAACTCACGATGCTCACAAATCATGTGAATAAGCCACCGGTCGGGTGGGCCGGGTAGCCAGAGTAGGTAGCCAGAGTAGACCGGCATGCTCGGCCTCCCCCAGCCCAGGGGGAGTGGCAGTTTTAAGACCCATTTTTTTGTCTGTTTACTTCTATGGTTTTAAATTATCTGCATTTTTAAAAATCACAGTAATAACTAGATACTATAACCATACAACTAGATACTATAACCATCTTTCTTGCCCACTTATGCTCTGTTGGTGGAAGAAGGTGGTAATAGCATTAGGAAGAACATCATGGGGAGGCAAAAGGACGTAGCAGTGGAAGTGCAGGGAGAAGCCAGTGACTATCTGCAGTAGGGGAATCATTACTTCACAGACAGTGGGGACTCATTCTCCCATCAGAGTGGCCATAGCAGCTGCAGAGATGGAATCTTTCTTGTCTCATAAAATTGTCCTTGTTAGATCATCCTAGAACTCTTTCCCTGTGTGGTGTCTTCGGACTTTCTGTGGGTCTTTCTGGGTCAGTTATTTACGCTCTTCTGAGGCACCCAGACAATACACGGCGGCCACACTGGACAAGGGTTAGCACTCTTTTCTGTGACGGCTCAGACAGTGAGTATCTGAGGCCACGCAGTCGCTGTGGCCGCTGCTCAGCTCCGCGGCTGTGATGGGAAGTGGCCGTGGGCAGGTCTCGCAGGCCTGCGCGAGGCTGTGCCCAGCAAATCCGCGTTCACCAGTCAGGCTGTGGGCTGGATTTGGTCTGTGATGTCTTAGTTTACCAATCAATACCTGATGTGGAAGAATGACATGAGTGTTTCTGGAATGTGTTTTCATATTGAAACTCCATGGGGAGAGTGTGGTATAAAGGTTAAAGGCATGTACTAGCTCGACTGGGTGCAAATCCTGGCTCTGGCACTTATTAGCTGTGTAACCTTGGCAGTTACTTAACCTCAGTGTCCTCGTGCCTCACCCAGGATAACAACATTACCTTTCTCACGGATTGTTAAGAGGAATAAATGAATTAGTATTTGTTAAGCACTTAGAACAGTACCTGGCACATAGTAAGTACAGTAAATAAAATATGTTCAATAAATAAAAGTCTGAAAAATACAAGGCATACGATTACATAACTAAATTGCTTTACTGAAGGACTGTGTCTGTTTACAGTGTTCTGAAACATCTGTCTCTGCATCCTCAACAGCATCGAATATTATAACAGTGGGGAAGAAACCCTTGAGAAAGGGTTTCTGGCAAAAATGCTCTCTTGTTCTAATGAATATTTCTTTTTTTTTTTTTTTTTGAGACAGAGTCTCGCTTTGTTGCCTAGGCTAGAGTGAGTGCCGTGGCGTCAGCCTAGCTCACAGCAACCTCAAACTCCTGGGCTCAAGTGATCCTTCTGTCTCAGCCTCCCAAGTAGCTGGGACTACAGACATGAGCCACCATGCCCGGCTAATTTTTTCTATATATGTTAGTTGGCCAATTAGTTTCTTTCTATTTATAGTAGAGACGGGGTCTCGCTCTTGCTCAGGCTGGTTTCGAACTCCCAACCTCGAGCAATCCACCCGCCTCGGCCTCCCAGAGAGCTAGGATTACAGGCGTGAGCCACCGCGCCCGGCTTAATGAATATTTCTTTGATGACTAGTGAGTCTAAATATTTTGTGAGTTTTAGCACTTTTTCCATATGAGCTGTAAGAGCTCTTTCTGTAGAGGATGATAACAATTATTAATATAATTGGAACAAATATTTTTTCCATGCTGCTTTCTGACTTACACGTTACATGTGGTGTGCTTCATGTTCCCACGTTCCTATCCTCAGTTTATACAAAAGTCCTTTTAAGGCCGGGCGAGATGGCTCACACCTGTAATCCTAGCACTCTGAGAGGCTGAGGTGGGAGGATTGCTCAAGGTCAGGAGTTCAAGACCAGCCTGAGTAAGAGCAAGACCCTGTCTCTACTAAAAATAGAAATAAATTAATTGGCCAACTAAAAATATATAGAAAAAATGATCCAGACATGGTGATGCATGTATGTAGTCCCAGCTACTTGGGAGGCTGAGGCAGGAGGATCGCTTGAGCCCAGGAGTTTGAGGTTGCTGTGAGCTAGGCTGATACCACGGCACTCTAGCCTGGGCAACAGAGTGAGACTCTGTCTCATAAAAAAAATCCTTTTGAAGCTGAAAAGAGAATTTTTACCTCAGTTGTAAAATAAACATTGTTTTATAATCTCGGTTAACACATTAACTGCCATGTGAGTTGTATTTAACTCGAGCCTGGGGCCTGGTGAAGTGCATGTAACTCATGTGTCCCTTCACCATGGGAGCCGTGTGGTGTGCAGGCAAGTCCCGCTGCTGTGTGTGGCCTGCTGCTTCCAGACTCCTGGCAGCAAAGTGGGAGGGGAGGGAAGGGGCCACCGTTTGAGCATAGGGCCACATGCACAGTGTTTTATATGTTTTCTGACTTACTTCACAACTCTGAGGCAGAAATGGCCACCTCCAATTCACAGTGACGAAACTGAGTTTCAGAGGATGATCAGGGTAGACAGGGTGGTGGAGACTGAACCCAGGTCTGCCCGCCCCAGGCCAAGCTCTTCCTTCGTGGTGATGCTATGTCTTGGGAGCATCTGGGTTTGATTTTTTTAAAGTACTGAACTATGATTGCTAGATGAAGTTTCATCTGAGATAGAAGCAAGGCTGTGCTAGTGCTTTAAAACAAATTTTGAAAATGTATAGCTTGATTAGGCAACAGAATTTAGGGTAAGAAGGGGTGATTTGGTGACTTCACAAAAGATGCAATTTAGTGAAAATTCACTTGTCTTTTCTTCTTCTCTCTCCTAAACAGGACACTCCTGGGTTCATTGTGAACCGGCTCCTGGTGCCGTATCTCATGGAGGCGGTCAGGCTGCACGAGCGAGGTACCTGCCGGCCGGGCTGGGGCAGTGGGGCTGGTGCTCACGGCGTCCGCAGCGAAGGCTGGGCTGTGCAGAGCAGGGAAGGACATCGGTTCCGGGCGCGAGAGCTCAGCCTCCCCCAGGCCCCGGTTCCTTTGTCCCTGTGTTCCCAGGGCCTTGGGCCCCCGTGAGGCCTGTGAGAAGCAGCTCTGGGACCCCCACACCCATACCCTGCAGTCCAGCCAGAGCAATCGACAGTGGCGGGGTTCATGCCCTGGGTCTCTGTTGTTAGTTGAAAGGGTTACTCCTGAAAACAATATTCATGATGTATAAATCCCTAGGCTAGGAGATCTTTAAAGTTCCTTAAGGTTCTAAAACCTGTGACTCTGTGACAGTTGGTGAGTACATGCCAAGGTTGATGACGTGGTAAGGACGGTTTTTAAAGGTCCATTGTCTGTCCGTACTGAATGGTGCCACAATGCACTTTTTAAATCTGACGAGTGGTCTAAATTTTTTTCAGTACTTGATTGAGAAAGAATGTTCTTCCCTGTGGTAAAACTGTCAGACTTAGGTCAGAGTCCAGGGTCACATAGTGACCTGCGTCCTCCTGTCCACCTTCCCTCCCTATTTCCGGGAAGGAAAGTGTCGTGTCTGGCTTGAAGGCGAACCAGCCTCAACAGCACTGGATGAAGAGCAAGCGGGACTGCCCTCAATGACTTCACTCACAGACGCTCACGCTGGAGAATATCATTTTGAAACAAAACATTTATACTGGCTCTTGCAGAGAGATGAAAGCACATTTGCTTCCTCAAAATCTGCTTTAAATACTAAAACTTTTCTCTATGGTTTGTGGAGGTAGTTGCCTCACTTTTGCTCCAAGATCAAACCAACACTTCTGTGTTTATCTATCAACAAATATGCCTAATTACACGTCAAAGCGCGAAGCATTTTGCCCCCCCTTGAAAGGCAGTTGTGTGTTGGTTTCTTTTTATTTTTTAATAACACGTGCTGTTTAGAATGCAGCTCGTGGGTGATCCGCCTCTTCGTGGTGGTGTTCTTGCTGAAGCACACTGTCCCTCTGACACGTTCCCGGACGCAGCGGGCGTCTGCCGGCGAGGGACAGCTTCTTTTCAGCTTTGCTGCCACCGGCAGGTCACTGTCTGCACAGGGGACGACACCCCTGGGCCCCCTGCGCCACCGGCCACCTGTGAGGAGCAGCTGAAGGGCAGCCCGTAGCCCACGGGACGCTCTGAGCTCACCCTTGGCGCAGCCCCACCAGCCTGTCGCTGGGTCTCTGTGCCTTACAGCCAGGCCGTGAGGGAGCTGGGTGTCCTGTCTGGGGGGACAGTTCCTTCTCCTGCGTCACAGCCCCAGCCTCTTGTCCCTTCTGCCACTCAGACAGGCTCCACGGCTCTGCGGGGACCTGCCACGCTCAAGCCCTGCCTCAGACCTTGCTCTCCTCACCTGCGCCTGCCACCAGCTCCACAGCCTTCACTCCCGCCCTTCTCACGGGCCGCCCGCGCGCGGTGCTGCGTGCAGTCTCTCTTGCCAAACCTCCTTCGTGCTTTCTGGAGCTGCATCTGGGTTCTCCTCATCTTCACGCCCAAGTGCTGGCACAGGGCCAGGCCTAGGTGCTCCTGGAGGGAAGTGGTGTTTCTGACCCGCTGCTGGAGCGCCCTTGCTCGTGCTGGGAGTGGCTGGCAGGGGGCGCTGCAGAGCTGGCCAGAGAGGCAGGTGCTGGGCGGGTAGACGCCCTGCAGGCCGTGCAGATCTGGGCGTCACTGGGAGCTTCGCTCTGTTGCCTTGTGTCAAGTTGGGTCCTAACTGGGAGGTGGTGGATGGGTATGTCCCACGAACCTCCTAAGGTTGACGCAGAATTTTGTGTGCATGTGCATTTTTTATGGAGTGGGTGTCAAGACTCTCAGAGAAATACTTCAAAGAAGTTTAGGAATTACTGGTCTAAAACATGATTCCACACTTAGCTCTTTTTGGACACACTCATCACTTTGTCTGTATTTTATTTCTCTTTCTCGTCTTTTTGCATTTTGCCTCTTTTGCTCTGTGTTACTCAGAATTTTTAGAGCTGTGCTGATTTTGTGGAACTATTTAGTTTTTTTTTTTATGTGTGCTGTGTCTTCATACTATTTTTTGAAATAAAGTAGTCCTCGAGTGAATTAATAAATCTGGAATTATAGTCTTTTTTTTCTTTATTTATTTTTTATATTTTTATTTTCTTTATTTTGCTTACTTCACTACATTAGCTTAATTTTTGTAAATAAAAATTTGTAGTTTCTTCAATGTGCAACATTATTCAAAATTCTAAACATTAGAAATGACTGGTAGAACCGTTTTGGTACAAGAGAAGGCAAATAAACAAAAGTGATAAAGTTTAGAAATAGGAAATTTTTAGGATTGGTGATTTTATAATAAAATTAATGCATGAAATAAAATACATCTTGGACTCAAGAACAGAAGGATCTAAATACTAGCTAGCTAGTGTTTTCAGCTGAGTTCACTTCCGACAAACATGAAAAATGGGGATAATTATGTCTTTCTACCTCCTACTGTACTAAGAACAAACAAACCAATATATAAAAAGCCCGTTGTGGTCCTGAGGGGAAAGGTATTGTAAATTCACAGGATGACTTCAAGTTCTAAGCCCTTGGTAAATAGAAATATTCACACCTTGTTTGGTTAACACTTAACTGGAATACCTGGCAAAGTGTCCTCTTGTGACACCATTTAGGATTGAGAAAAGTCATGAACAATAGGATAAGAAAAGTGAAGACATCTATCATGAATCTATGAGTCTCTTTTTTTGGGGGGGGGGGTTTAAAAGTTCCTAGGGGTTTTATTAGGGTTGATATATATATATAAAATATATGTGTATATATAAATATAATATATATATATTTTTAGCATATTATGGGGGTACAAGTGTTAAGGTTACATATATTGCCCATGCCCCCCTCCCCCTTGAGTAAGAGCTTCAAGCATGACCATCCCCCAAACGTTGCACATCTTACTTGTTGTGGTTGTATATACCCATCACTTCCTCCCCCCTCCCACCATCCCAACACCCAATAAATGTTACTCCTATATGTCCACTTAGGTGTTAATACCGTTAATACCAATTTGCTGGTGAGTACATGTGGTGCTTGTTTTTCCATTCTTGAGATACTTCACTTAGTACAAGGGGTTCCAGCTCTATCCAGGAATATACAAGAGGTGCTATATCACCATTGTTTCTTAAAGCTGAGTAGTACTCCATGGTATACATATACCACATTTTATTAATCCACTCATGAATTGATGGGCACTTGGGTTGTTTCCATAGCTTTGCAATTGTGAATTGTGCTGCTATAAACATTCGAGTGTGGGTGTCTTTTTCATAAAGTGATTTTTGATCTTTTGGGTAGATGCCCAGTAGTGGAATTGCTGGATCAAATGGTAGATCTACTCATATAGCTTTGAGGTATCTCCATATTGCTTTCCACAGAGGCTGAACTAGTTTGCAGTCACACCAGCAGTGTAGAAGTGTTCCTCTCTCTCTGCATCCACGCCAGCATTTACTGTTTGGGGACTTTTTGATAAAGGCCATTCTTAGTGGAGTTAAGTGATATCTCATTGTGGTTTTGATTTGCATTTCCCTGATGATTAGAGATGTTGAACATTTTTTCATGTTTGTTGGCCATTCTTCTGTCTTCTTTTGAGAAGTTTCTGTTCATGGCCTTTGCCCATTTTTTGATAGGGTTGTTTGATTTTTTTTCTTGCTGATTTTCCTGAGTTCTAAATAGATTCTAGTTATCAGCCCTTTATCAGATGTGTAGCTTGCAAAAATTTTCTCCCCTTCTGTGAGTTGTCTGTTTGCTCTCTTGACAGTTTCTTTGGCTGTGCAGAAGCTTTTAAATTTGATCAGGTCCCATTTGTTTATTTCATTGCTGTTATGATTGCCTTTGGGGTCTTCTTCATAAATTTTTTGCCTAGGACAATGTCTAGAAGAGTATTTCCAACATTTTCCTCTAGAATTTTAATAGTTTCATACCTAGGGTTCAAGTCTGTTACCCAGCGTGAGTTGATTTTTGTGAGAGGTGAAAGGTGTGGGTCTTGTTTCAGTCTTCTACATGTGGCTATCCAGTTTTCCCAGCACCATTTATTGAATAAGGATTCTTTTCCCCAGTGTATGTTTTTGTCTGCTTTGTCGAAGATTAGTTGGCTCTATAAGGATGGTTTTATATCTGGGTTCTATGTTCTGTTCCACTGGTCAATGTCCCTGTTCTTATGCCAGTAAAAAGCTATTTTAATTACTATAGCCTTGTAATATAGTTTGAAGTCTGGTAAATCAATCCCTCCTATTTTGTTTTTATTGTCTAGGATTGATTTTGCAATACGGGGTCTTCTCTGGTTCCATATGAAGCGTAAAATTATTTTTTCTATATCTATGAAAAATGATAATGGTATTTTGATAGGGATTGCGTTGACTCTGTAGGTCTTTGGGTAGTATAGACATTTTAACAATGTTGATTCTGCCGACCCACGAGCATGGTATATTCTTCCATCTGTTTATGTCCTCTGCTATTTCCTTCTTCAGTGTTTCATAGTTCTCCCTGTAGAGGTCTTTTATCTCGTTAGTTAAATATATTCCTAGGTACTTTATTTTCTTTGTTGCTATTTTGAAGGGACTTGAGTCTTTGATTTGGTTCTCACTTGTATTGTTGTTGGCGTATATGAATGCCTCTGATTTCTGTGTATTGATTTTGTATCCTGATACTTTACCAAATTCATTTGTCAATTTAAGGAGTCTCTTGGTTGAATCCTTGGTCTTTTCTAGGTATAATATCATGTCATCAGCAAAGAGTAAGAGTTTGATCTCTTCTGCTCCCATTTGGACGCCCTTAATTCTGCTCTCTGATCTGATTGCTGTAGCGAGGACTCCCAGCACTATGTTGAACAGAGGTAGAGATAGTGGACAATCTTGTCGTGTTCCAGTTCTAAGTGAAAATGCTTTAAATTTGTCCCCATTTAGTATGATATTGGCTGTGTTTTTGTCGTATATGGCTTGTATCATTTTTAGGTAAGCCCCGTCTGTGCCTATTTTGTTGAGCGTTCTTATCATAAAAGGGTGTTGAATTTTGTCAAATGCTTTCCCTGCGTCTATTTAGAGGATCATATGGTCTTTATTTTTGCTTCTGTTTATACGGTGAATTACATTTATAGATTTGCGTATGTTGAACCATCCCTGCATCCCTGGGATGAAGCCCACTTGGTTGTGATGAATTGTTTTCTTGACAAACACCTGGATTCAATTGGCTAGGATTTTGTTGATAATTTTTGCATCTATATTCATAAGGGATATTGGCCTGTAGTTTTCTTTTTTTGTTGCATCCTTTCCTGGTTTTGGTATCAGGGTTATGTTCGCTTCATAAAATGTGTTGGGGAGGTTTCCATCCTTCTTGATATTGTGGAATAATTTCTGCAGGATAGGCACCAGTTCTTCTTTGCAGGTGTGGTAAAATTCAGGTGTGAAACCATCTGGTCCAGGACTTTTCTTTTTAGGAAGGTTTTTTATGGCTGTTTCAATTTCAGTACTTGATATTGGTCTGTTCAGGAATTCTATTTCTTCCTGGTTAAGCCTAGGAAGGCTTTGGGTTTTTAAGAAATTTTCCATTTCCTCCACATTTTCCAGTTTGTGTGCATAGAGGTTTTTGTAGTATTCATAAATTATATCTTGTATCTCATGGCATCAGTTGTAATTTCTCCTTTATTGTTCCTGATGGAGCTTATTAGAGATTTTTCTTTTCTGCTTTTCATTAGTCTAGCCAAAGGTGTGTCAATTTTGTTTATTTTTTCAAAGAACCAACTTTTTGTTTTATTAATCTTCAGTATAGTTTCCCTTTTGTCAATTTTGTTTAATTCTGATTTGATCTTAATGATTTCACTTCTTCTGCTAGGTGTGGGGTTGGTCTGTTCTTTTTCCAGCTCTTTCAGACGACTCATTAGGTTGTCTGTGATCTTTTCGACTTTTGGATATAGGCATTTATGGAGATAAACTTTCCTCTCATCACTGCTTTAGCTGTGTCCCACAGGTTTTGGTAACTTGTATCATGTTTGTCATTTAGTTCAAAGAATTTTTTGATTTCCGTCTTGATTTCCTTATTTATGAAGTGATCATTCAGGAGAAGGCTGTTGAGTTTCCATGACTTTGTGTAGAAGTGAGAACTCTTGTTAGGATTGATTTCTACATTTATTCCATTGTGGTCTGAAAAGATACATGGTATAATTTCTATTTTTTAAAATTGTTTGAGACGTGCTTTGTGTCCTAGGATACGGTCAATGTTAAAGAATGACCCATCAGCTGATGAGAAGAACGTATATTCAGTGGTCTGGGGGTAGAATGTCCTGTAAATGTCAGTCAGGCCCATTTGTTCTAGAGTTCTGTTTAAGTCCATTATTTCTTTGTTGATTTTCTGTTTGGAGGATCTGTCCTGTGCTGTATAGTCTTGCCTCTAGGGTTCATTGCCCTGCCTTTGAGTGTAGATTTGATTAAATGGCTCTAGGTAAGTGGGAACCACTGTGCTATCAGATTCCTTCCCCTGGGGGCCTAGCCGTGGTAAATGAGCCCCTGAGTGAACATGGTAGGCTGCGGGGAGGGATGGCGGAAGTCCTGGCCCGGAGTCCTGGCAGCCGCTGTTTTGACGCAGAGAGGAGAGGGGCTCTTTGAAGAGGCTGGGCCAGCAGGGCCGCAGGGCTCTAGGGCCGTGTCCAGCACAGGGAGCAGGCGCTGAGCCCTGAGAGAGAAGCCAACGTGGCCGTCACTTCCCGCATTCAGGGCTCTGCCAGCCTAGAAGCCTCGGGGTCTGACGAAATCCTCTGAGTAGAACCCACTGTGAGCTGTGCAGCCGGATCCCAAGTGTCCCGTCCCTTCTCATTCCTCTCTTGTGCGTGCCGCACTCTGCCCACAATGCCCTTCCCCGCCAAGATCTCGGGAGTCTCGTTGCCCTGCAGCACCTGGCCTGGGGTGTGGTTTTGGTGGCATTCTGGCAGGCTGAGAAATCTCTCCATTTTTGCTGCACAGAGCTGTGTAATGTGTAAATTCTTCAAGAATCTTCAGCACTTGCTATGTTGAAATTTGGGGTTTACTCATCTAAGTCCTCTCAGTATATCATGAGTACCTTGAGTGTCTTGTTTTTCTTTGTCTCACTCTAAGTCGCTGGTGCCTGCTAAATAATAGATACCAGTAAAGTTGGATGAATGAGTGAATGAATGAGGCTTCCTGATAAGGCTAGTGTGTGTGTGTATGGTTATTTTTGTATTCTTTGCTTTCTTAGGACCTGGAACTCAAATCATGATTTCTTAGGAGCTTCTACTCCTAATTAGTATACTATTAATATAATAATATCTATCACCCATAAAAAATAGTTGGTATTTTAATCACCTTAAACTGCCTTGAAATACTTTGGTGTTACTTTAGTACTGTATATGCTTTTAGAAAATACAGTCTGTTGATATTTAAGTATTAATAGTTGCTGCTCATGCCTAAAAGTCTGCAATTTTAAGATATGAAACCCTGAGTGTTTTTTCCCCCTTTTATTTAACTTTGGTATGATTGACTGCTTCTTTTTGCTTTGGAACAAAATTCTAGATAGCCACTTGTTATAGACTATTCAAGTTTCTGATTTTGAAGAAAGGGAACAGGTTGTTTTCTATAAAGCTAACTGCCTAAGGACAACATGTTAAAAGTAAAATTCTAAGGGAAAAGCACATTGACCCTTGTCTTAGTCTACTCAACACACTTTCACATATGCATGGCAATTTGAAATCAGGTTTTGGCTTTTAAAAAAAAAATGTTTCTTGACTAAAGAGTTTGTGTGACTGTGATTCCAGGGGAATGCTCACTACTTGTAAAGCCAAAAAAGCTAGAAAGGAAAAATATTCATATACTACAAAACCCAGAAAGCTTAGTTCTTTTCTTTTTTAGGAAACCCCATTTATAAATCAAAAATATGCTTTAGCTTTAAATGATATTTTAGTAAATGACTCCAGAGTTAGAAAATCCCAGTACTTTCAGAAGTAGCTAATGTTTCCGGGCACCGGGGCTGTCTCTCCATGAACAGGGTGGCAGTGCCCTCGAAGTTACCTCACCTCATGCAGCAGCTTGAAAGTCTTGTGACCTTTTCAGTGTATACCTTTTACCCAAGCCAGAAATTCTGACTCTAGACATTTTTTGAATATGCAAGTGTATAAAATTCTAATAATTCTGGGAATGATCCTCTGATAGGGAGAATGATAGGAAGGGTGGCAGGAACTCAGTGCTGCCTTTTTCTCCTTAGGTGACGCGTCCAAGGAGGACATTGACACTGCGATGAAGCTGGGAGCCGGGTACCCTATGGGCCCCTTTGAGCTTCTAGATTATGTTGGGCTGGACACTACGAAGTTCATCATGGATGGTAGGAACTGGAACTCTTTCTTGTCTCTCTAATTGAGTTGAGGTGGTTTCTCTGAAGTTTGAATTATAATGCTTACTTAAAGCAGAAATAATAAAGGGTGTGTTGGCAAAAATCTTCCAAAGTTCTGCTTCACTAGGTTGCAGATTCAGGTTAACAGATGGCAGGAGAGGAAGACTACGACTGCCTCATGTCTCTAAACCTCTTTTTTTAAAAACTTTCATTTTGGAATAATTATGGATTCATAAGAAGTTGCAAATATAGCACAGACATGTTCTATGTTCTCTTCACCCAGTTTCCCCCAATGATTATATGTCACATAACCATAGTACAATGTTACTCAGAAAATTGGCATTGATACCCTTGTTTAATCCCATGTATTGATTTGTGTGACCTCTATGGCAATCAAGACACACAACCATTTCTTAAAAAATGTATCCGTTTTAATGTAGTGCCTCTGAAGACAGAGTAAGAATAATAATCACAACTGGACTACTAACGTTGCATGTAGCTCACTACTCCCAAGTTTCACAAAGAATACTTATGTGTTTGGGAGAATCTGCAAGGGCTCTAGTTGAAGCATGAAAGTTTGAATTTTATGAGGTTGCAAAATCGTAGTAGGAATTCAGATTTTTAACATGTATTCTGAAAGTTAACTATGCCACTGAGGAGTCTAAGCAAATTGCTGGGTTCTGTTAGTGTTCTTGGACGTTTGGAAGAGATTGGACAAACAGGAGGCCGCACAGGGCCAGGCACAGCGCAGCGCTGTGGGTGGCAGCACCTTGCCTTCCTGGTGCCTCTTTGCGGTGGCCTTGGTGGCCTGGTGCCCGAGCAGCTCTCTCACTCCAGCGTGGGGACCCTCCCTAGACTGTGCCTGCAGCCTTGCCCTGGGAACACCAGGGTTTAAAGAAAAACCCCAGCACTTTGCCCTAAGCCCTTTCCTCCTTCCAACAGGGTGGCACGAATTAGACGTGAAGGACCCCATGTTTCAGCCCAGCCCAGCCTTGAATAAGCTGGTAGCAGAGAAGAAGCTCGGCAGGAAGACTGGAGAAGGCTTTTACAAATACAAATGACGGGCAGCTTGTCTGGCTCTGAGAAGAACCGGTGAGCAGTGAGCGCTGGCCAGCCACGCTGGACGCCCTCCGGGCACGCTCCTCCCTCGCGCGGCCTGCGCGCTGCGCGTTCTGATCATGATCTCCAGTGATTACTTTCATTAGTTACAGTGCCTGATTCCTCCATCGAGCACGGATTCCCTTTTTTAGTCTGACCATTTCTATGTATTTTCTAAACAGCTTTACACCCTTGGTGCCTTAGAGCAAAAGTTTCTTTTAACCATGCCGTTTTTGTAAAGCGTTGCCTGAATTCGTTCCCTCTGAGAGCGAGGGGCGCGGTGTCCACGGCGCCGCGCAGGGTGTCACGAGCGGGCGGCGCGTGCGTGGCGCGTCTGGGAAGCGCCGTAGCAGGCGGCACCCGAATCTTGCCTTCATGAGAACGTTGTGCAGCCCGCAGCTTTGAGCCTTCCCTGCGTTCTGGACACAACATGAGTTGCTGTCTTTTTTCAGCTCATCATTAAGACACCGCTGCTGGGTTGCTGGGACTCTGTGTGCTTGGTTTGCTGGAAGACATCTGTCTTCGTGGGCATTCAGATCCACAAATCTTACTGATTACTGTCTCCCTTTTTCCCCATGAGAAATCAGTGTTGAAAACAGCCTATTAATTGACTCTAATAAAATATAATCTTTTAGTCTGAAAATTTGAATTGAAATAAACATGTATAACTTAAAATTGTAATATGCTTAAGTGACTATAAAAGTTGATAATTTAGACAGTGAGTTTCCATCTTCTTGGCCTGCTGCTGTTTTCTAGAGTGGCAGTGTTGGGATGGAAGGCAGGAAGGCATCTGCGCGAAACCTGCCTGTGGCTGCCACTGCCAGGCTTCTTACCAGGAAGGTAGCAGTAACAGCACAGAGAACAATTTTTAAGGAACATCTGTTTCTTCTTTGCCAACAGAGTGAAATAGTGTAACATGAGCTTCTTTTAATCATTGGCTTGAGAAAGTGTTTTCCAAGATAGAATTTTGGAGCTGGAAAGACATCAGAAAGCCTGAAGTCCAGTGGTCTCATTAGGAGAGAGTTCAAGTGATGTGCCCAAAGTCACCAGATATTTTGTAGCAAGGCCCGAATTAGAACTAGGTTTTGATGATAAACTTAAATAAGATAGCAAATTTGAAAATCTTAAATCCCAGCTTCCAGACAGGACTGTCTCCAAAATGGGTGCTCTTGTTTGGCATCCTGGGTCACAGTTCTAACACTTCAGAGGTTTTTTTTCTTCATTTCATTTGATAAAAGGGAACCTATTAATTTTTAAAGCTTTGAATCTACAGTTTAGTGGGAAAATAACTACATACACTTTTACCACACGTAGAACTGGTTTGACACCTTTAGTTTCTTTGAGAACGCTGGCTAACGAATAAAAGGAAGCACCCGAGAGGCCACCACTGTTTTCGCCGCTGGAGGTGCCCTTGGTCTGCCGCTCCCTGTCCCGCACAGGGGTGCTCCACCTGTCGTGAGCCCTGGGCAAGGAGAGGCTTCACTTCTTCCCTCTCTGACCACAGTCGCCACAGGATGTGGGTGCCTGTCCTAGAAGTGGCAGGCTCTTCCTTGACCCCGAATTCTAAGAAAGTCTAACGCAGCCAAGTGGTGGTCAGCCTGCCAGGACGAGAGGATGGGGCTGCAGCAGTCTTTCTGGCTAATGTGGCAAAATGCACTCTTCGCCCACCAGATGGTCCAAAGGCCTGACCCCTGAACATCCTTCATCATTTCCAAAGAACTTTTCCACGAACGATAACCATGTTCAAGAGCAGGGAGGGATTTTGAACATCCTCCTGGTCTTAAACGTGGGAGGTGGAGAGTGGCTCCTTCTCCCTGGGCCCCGGGCTCTTGCACTGTCCGTGGGTGCAGCTGCTTCCCACGGAAGAGCTCTGTGGTGAGAAGGAAGGTCTCCTCAGTCCGGGCCCGGCTGCCAAGCGCAGGCCAGCTGCAGCCACTTGCCTCAGACTGTGCGTGGACGCGCAGCCTCAAGAGAAGCCCCCGCCTCACGCTTCCCTCCGCCGTCCCGCCGGCTCCTGTGCTGCCGCCCCTCACCCTCCGGCCCTGCTCCAACAGCAGCCGTGCTCTTTCATGCCACTTGAAAGTAACGACCAAGTTTTAGGTCAAGAAGATATTTTATTTTTTTCTCTCTCCTCTTCCTTCTTAGTGATATTTTTATTCCTACAATAGAAGTGAAAATTTGAGATTAAAAAGAAAACATACAATTTGTGAAATATTGAAAAAACAAAGTGAGCCTGAGTGTAGCCATCAGGTAGACTTCAATTATGTTCAGTAAAGTGGAGTTCTCCAAGGGATGGTTTTAATGCTTATGAAGACGTCTTTGTAAACTAAAAATCATGGCTCTTAATGTTCAGAAGGTTCACTTTTAATAACAGTTTCTCAGGGGAAAATGGTCAATTGTGAGTTGTATTTCTAGTTTGGGAAACTGGAGAATGGGGCAGCCGGGGGTTAAGGCAGAAGCAGGTCTTGGAACTGGGAACTGGTGGTATACAATGATTCTCCACTGGGTTCTGCTGAACAGTAAGTTTTTTGGGCTAACAGAACAGCTTTTAGAAACCCATTTGAGATTCAACCATTTATCACTGCAGAGGGGACAGCCAGTATGTTAGTCACGGCTCATACGACAACATATGCTAATTATGATTTCTCTCTTGGCTGTGCTGTTCACACATTTGAAACAAGCTTTTGTCTTGTCCCACCTTGATTTTAATCCCCTTAACATGTCAACCTAAGAAACTGATTAAGTATACCAAAAATAAAAGGTGTGGCTATAATTTTATGAGACTAATTTTCTTGTAAACAGGCATTGATGCTACATAAATAGTAATCTAAAAAATGCTTTGAACAATGGGATCATTGCTGTATTTTAAGACTATACTTTGAAAGAAGCCATTTGGTTGTGTAAATTCTGTTTTTTAAAATTGGTCTCAATGTTTCATAATCAGGTTTTGTGTCTTATTTAGCAGTGTTTTTCTTTGCAGCAGTGCTTTTCTTTCTGTTTTGAAATAGCAGAACAAAGTTTAACTCCTAAAAGAGAACTCTGTCATTAGATGCTAATTCTAATCTATGTTTTATAAGTAAATCACCAACTATAGCTGCTGTAGGATTAATCAATAAAAGTAAAAGCATGGGCTTTGATATTAAACAGACTTGGGTTCTAGTTCTCAGCTCTACTCTCTTTACCTGTATAACCTAGAGAAGTTATTTTTTTTTCTGGACATACCTGGTAAAATGGGCATCAGGACAGAACCCCTATCCCATACTGTTAGTAAAAATGTATTGAAGGAGTGCAATTATTTCTTCTTCATACAAGTTTACTGTGACCCACAACACTGCTGATGGCAAGCAACTTTAGCATTGTTTCTGCAATAAAAGCAAATAAACAACAGCCAGTTTTCACTGGAGTTCTCAAGTTTTACTATAAGTTATATGAATACAGTTTCGGTGTAGGTTGATTCATGCTAATGTGTATTTTAAACAGCTGTTCTTGGTACACCCTTTTCTCTCCCATTTTCCTTGAGCCACTTCTGGCTGCAGAGTAAGATAATGGAAGTTTTCCCACTAGAGACTTGCAGAGGTTTAGAATAGCAGCTTCCAGAATGATACCCACTAAATGACAGGCAAGAGAACCATGGTCTTCTTTCCACAATACCTCTATAATAAATGACATTTTGAATCATATGCTTTAGCATTAAAATGCTTAACTGTAGTTAAATTTTATAGTTGCTATTAAAAAGCAGTTGAAATTTTCATGTGTACGTAGCCTCAGAAGTTAGGTTTCATGGGGCAGCTCTCAAAACTCCCAGCCTCCATGCATGGAAGGTAACTTTCTGTGGCAGGAGCAGTAAAATGTAATTTGTTAAACAGCTACTACATCATGTGGACTTTGAGTGTCTCTTTTCCGTCAGAACCATACATTACTCTCATGACTTTCTTCTTTAAAAGGAAAACCACACAGACATCTTGTTCTTGCTCACAGGTCCTTTATTAGAGGTTTCCATGTTGTTGCAGACTCAGATCAAACTACAGATGAAAAAATTATTGTACTTAGGAGAGCTGTAGTCACGAAGCAGTGGGAAGGCCCTTCCAGCCAAACAGGTAGTTGCCAGCAAACCTAGCAACCAAACAAAAACCAGGAGGAAAGCGCCCTTTCGTAGGGACCGGCATGCCAGCGGTGGCCTCAGGGAAGGCTTGCTCCCAGAAAGAAGGCTGACCCGTCCTCCTCTCGGCACGCGATTCAGCTCCGAGTTTGCTGCAGGTGAGGAAGCCAAATCCTCCAAGGTCAAACAGAAGTGGCTGGAGGAGTGTCCCTCTCAACACAGACACCCGCTTTGGTCCCTATCTCTGGGGAGACACCTGGCTGTCCTTCCCCAGAGCTGCTGCCTGCAGAAAGCAAGGTTTTGGCAGAATGGGCCAGGAACGAGCACCATGACATCAAAGTTACTTGGGAAAAATCATTCTGGAAGAAATAAACCTAGCAGGGGACCAAGTTTGTGGAAGGAACTGGCTCAGGGAGTCCAAGTAATCCATTTCTCTCAATATTGTTTATTCATTTTTTTGGTAGGTCATACAAATGTAGAGGAGGAATGGAGGGAGAGAAGAGCTGAGTGGGCTGTGGCCAAGCGTTGGGTCTCAGGTGCATGTCTGTTGTCTACTGCCTTGATAACAGACTTTTAATTGCTTTCTTTCTAAGATCCAGAACAGCCAATCAGTGTGTTGCTATGATCTTCTTTTCTCTTCAAAAAGCAACACTCACTGTCACCTCCTATACCATTTTGTTGGATTTTCTGTGTCATTCCCGAGATCATGGTGGCAGCTCTGGACTGCTTTACCTATTTGGTTTGTGTACATTAAGAAAACTCGTATTATAGAACACGTTCTTACATTTAGGAAAAAAAGAAATAAAAAGAAAATGTAAAAAATTAATTAAAAAAGAAAAAGAAAACTCGGAGATAGTTTTCAAATGAAGTTCTGGCCAGGGCTGAATATGAAAACTTTATAACCAGTAGGTCCCCTGAACACAATACTTTTTTTTTTTTTTTCCCCTGGTTCAAGTTTAGGACTAAATGAAGAACTGTAGACATTCCAGAGGATAGTAATGAAAATGATTAAAGAACTGATGATGAAAGGTTCAAGGAAGTGGGATTACTTAGCCTGGAGAAGAGAAATTTGAGGGGTGATTTAATGGAAATCTTCAAGTACAGTATGTGGAGGGTTATTACAAGGATGGTAGCCAGCTGTTCCCCAGCTGTACTGAAGTTAAAAGAGGGAAATAAAATTTCAGCAAGAGAGATTTAAGTTAGACCAGTGATGTCAGTGGTTCTCAAACTAATTCAAGGGATAGAAAACCATTGTGAAAGACCATGAAATACTGATGTTTTAAACTTAAAATATATAGTTTTTGCTAAACCAGATACCAACTTATATACTGGTATAACAAAAGCTTAAGGCAAAATTATGGAATGCAAACTCAAGAATGGGAAAATGGAGGTTCTGGGGAGATGGGCAGAGGCTAAGACCTTTCTTTGTTCACCACTGGGACTCATGGTTTGGGGAGCCCAGTTTGAGAACCAGTGAGCTATGAAGAGGGGTGGTGACTGCAAACTTGCAGTGGAGCCCAGGAGGATCGTGGGGTGCTCGGGAAGGAAGAGGCTCACTCCCATCTGAATCCTGGTGACCCTC